TGCATTGCTAAATGTATATCTTAGGTTTATTCGTAGGGTATATCAGGGTGCGGTTTTCTTGCGGCATTTTTTTTTAGTTTCTTTCTTTTCTTCGCATTTTGTTACATTTGCTTTGCCATTCATATTTCTTTCTGTTTATTGTTGTCCCTCCTCCTCACGCCTCAGACGATGGGCTGGTTGGTTGTGCGAGGGTGATTGCAGTGGAGAAGGGCAAAGAGGGAGGCAGATAGAGAGAGAGGAAAGCAAACACAATGGCCACACTTTGACCCTGACTTTTAATGTGTACATTCGCCGACGGACGGCCCCCGTGCTCCCCCTCTTCCGCTGATCGGACCGACACATGCTAAATTATTGTTATTATTATGAATTGTGTTTTATGCATTCGTTTTACCCTTCCTAGAGCGAGTTGTACAATATTGAGCGGACGCTTGATCAACGCAGAGAAGGAGGCCTCTTAGATCAAAATCAAAAGCAGATTCTCTCCATCCGATTGTATGCGATGTTATACATACATATGTATGTACATATGTTAAATCCCTCAGTTTTATTGGATATATTCTGGAAACTGGCCAAATCGGAACTATCAAGGATCACCATATAATTAGAACGGTCGGTTGAAAAACATTTTTCATGTTTCTGGAATTAATCCAACCAAATGTTAGAAATTTTCGTTTCTCAAGCTTTTCAGAGCTGTTTTGTCGACCATAACTCTTTGGGTTGCCATTTGCTTTATAAATCAGCAGGTAGCTCCTATTTGCCTCATAATGCTTCAGGTAGGTATTTGCCCCAAAAGGCTCCCAGCCAACGCCAACATCCTGCCACCGCCGCCGCCGCCTCAGCAGCTCCACGCGGCAGCTCATTTGCCTAGGCAACGGGTCATTTGAGTGAAGGGTTTTTCATTTCAATTGAAAAGCAAATTATTTCTCTCTTCTTATCGCCAGCTGCTTAACGATATCATTTGCTCTTTGCCACACGCTCTGTATCAACCCAGCCGCCCCCAACAACACCTCTGACTCGGATTCCGGCCTCGCCTTTGCCACTGCCTCTTCCACCGCCCGGCAGCCTGCCTGCTGACCAACGTAGTACATACATATGGCCATGAGAACGGCTTATTTCTGGTATGTATATTCTATTCATCTCGTATTTCCATCTTCTCTTTTGTGTGGAGCTTTCAATGCACACAGACACACACACACACACACACATGCAGCCATTCGTTCTAGCTCTGATTGGGCTGCTGTTGCACGGTGCATTTTCCACCGATGGTATTTTCCTCTTTGTGTCGATGGATTAGACTCTGTTTCACGTGAGGCGTCGTCGGTTGAAAACGATGAGTGCAACAGGCAGGCGCTTCTTCAGCATGAGCGACTCCCAGAGAGGGGGCGTTGAGAGATAATGTAGTTATGGCAACGGGGCAATTAGAGGAACTAAGCTCCTATTCTCAAGCCTTAGAGTAGGAGTGCACTTACGGACTGTCAGCTGGAAGTGATTCATGTTACCAATTATAACCTGGAAGCCAGCAATTAAATTGAGGTCTTTAAATCCTGACTGCAGCCCGACTGCACGGAGACCAAAGACTACACTTGACCGAAAACACCACTAACCAACCGGATCAATTCACTGAAATAACACAGTTAGAAATGAGACAAGTCCTCAGGATAGCCACACATTCACTCGTGTCCAGTGTTTGCCTCATCTTTTGATCCATGACCTTTTTTCATCCACCCACGCGTTGACCTATCTCCAAACCAATTTGCATTACTGTCACCTCAGTCAAACTATTTTTCATGGCAAAATAGGCCTTTTGATTCCGAGTTGCAGGGACATTAGTGGCCCCGGTAGTGCGCCCCCAGAACTAGGGGAAATCACGACAGCACCTGTCGTGACGAATCAGTTTTCATTTCACCGAACATGCTTCTGATACTAGTTTGAGTCCAGATTATATGCGGTACTCAAAGAGCATAGGTATATACTATACCAGGATACTAGGACTCTCATGACAGCCAGAGATTGAGCGCTTAAAAGCCAGCCGCTCTCTCGTTCTGCAATGACATATCCATCCTTTTAGGAATGTGTGGACTGTTCCGCACTATCGGACTGTGGATCTTCAACGATATATTTTTCAAATTCGGATATATCCTCCTGGTCCCATCCATCAATTTGTTTGTCCTCTTCTTGGAGCTTAGCTTTAGCTTTTTGTATGCTTCTTCTCTGATGTCTGCCAAACTTAGGTAAATATACTGGTATGACCACTTATGCCCTGAGCAGCCTCTTACTAAACATGTCCACATGTCTTTGCGTGCTGGGGGTGCTTCGTGCTTCGACGGGGTTGCTAGCATGATTTGAATCTATTTCTGTTTTTATTTATAACAAAAAAAGCGCAGGATCCGATCAGTTCGGTGGCCGTGGCTGTAGGTACTTCTGCCGAATGATGGCACCCTGACTTACGGACCGACAGACTGGCTGTGCAATAACATACACACATGTTCCAGGTGTGTGTGTTCCAGATTAATGCACCTGTACAGTTTTACCCTTCTGATTATTCTGCTTGTATTGGTTTTTTATGACGGCGCTGTCGAAGGGGATTTATTCCGTAGATCGTAAATCGTAAAAATCATATCAAGTTGATTCAAGACCTGCTCGTGGTATCTTCTGCCCACAATATGAAAAAATCTTATTTCGTATATCCTTAAATACATAATATATGTACATCCATGACTTAACATTAGAATAATTGTCAGGGTATTCAGCGTGCGTCGTTTCAATAAGCAAAGATTTGCAAACATTTCCTGAGATCTACCTCAAAATTGTTATGAAATTGGGGTGGGGATCAAAAATTCGTTTTCGAATTTGGGCGCATATTTTATATTTGAATTAATACTTTTTACTACGAAATAAAATGAATGCAGAGAATATAATTGTTTGATTATCCAACCAGTTAATCGAAAAAGGATTTTTAAAGAAGATGAAATTTTAAAACATGCTTTCGGCTTGGAAATTCGGCATTACGAATTCGGTACACAATAAAAGGCGTATTTGCAGGAAAGTTCCTTTTGTTTTTAGATTTGAATGTTCTCCCGACTTCGCGACTTCCTAGCTGCACATGAATGACCATTATGGCCGTAACTCATCTTACTATTCCAAAGGGTTCCGACTACTGTGAACACCATACTACACGGCCCATTTGGTTTAAATGCTGGATGTATGTGCATTAGCGCAAAATAATTTTCTGGTTTTTCTGCTGCTGAAGTTTCTGGCGAGCCTAATATTTGCTTTATTTATTAAGAATTTGAATAAGAAACCGAGTAATTGCACAAAATTGTAAAATTTTCTCTATCGGCGTCATCTGGAACTACAGGTCTTGTAGTTCAAATTAACTCCTATAGAGTGCAGCAGAGTAGTTCGCGGTAATGCCGTCTCAGATCTTCACCCTGACTATACCTCTGGCGGCGCCATCTGGAACTAAACACAAATGTATTTTCCTGACATCCCCAAAAGAGTGCTGCTGACAAAAGTAAGAATGAGATAACAATACTAGGGAAGTTTTTAAAAATAAATATATAAGTAAATCTAAATATATGTATGTGCATATTTACATAATTTAAGATTTAATCAAAGATTCAGAATCGAAAAAAAAATCATCGAATGAATGCATCCACAGTTAATGTTTGCATTTACATACATATCATTTTTGGACTCGGATTAATTTCAGAAAATTGCTCAGCGAAATGAAAAATGATTCGCCATGACACATGTGGTACCTATCTACTCCCACAGTTCCCAACGGTGCATCGGGTACGCATGACCGCGTCGACCAATGTCCCTGCAAATCAGACTCAAAATTCTGCATGTTTGACCATAAAAAATGGTTGCACTAATGCGACATTAATTAAAATTGAAATTAGCTCGGAGATAATTCAACGCGTGGGTGGCGCTGGGGGACGACAATGCGCGGTTAAGGCATAGATCCGCTCTTGCGGAACAGAAATGCAATCAAAGTGTTTTTTATCCCCTTGTAGCTGTATGACATTAGAATTTGTTTAATTTGCTGCATTATAGACAAAACGCAAACGTAGTGTTCGTCGCCGCCTCCAGACACGCCCTCTAGCTATCAGTCGAATAACTGAGGCATAATTTGTGACAAAATTATGTCTTCCAACACACACTGAAAGCAAAAGTGGATCTAAAAAGTTCAAAAATCGATCATCTCTGCCGCAGCGCTGCTCCCAGCTCTCGCTCTCACGGCATTCTTTTCCCATGAGGCTGTCTCTGCTTTCGCAGCTAGTCAGTTAGAAAAATATAATGGCTGGGAAAATAGATAGAAATTCATCATGCAGAATTAAAAAAAAAAACTCTTCGAGTATAAAAATGTTTTTTAGAGCGTTGCTAGGATAGTTGAAAGCGGAATTTTTTAATGAGCAATAACTAACGGCACACCTGATAAAAATTAATCATAAACTAACAGACTCGACTACAAGATTATTGGAATCGATCACACAGCACAGTGTTATACGTCAAACAAATTTAGAGCAAAAAGTTTAGCCAACAGGAAATAAATATTTCAGTCATTCGAAACAGTTCAGTCGTCGGGAGAGGATATTAAATCGAAAAGGAAAAGAAAATAGTAAGTGAAATACAAAATTAAAAGCAGCAGTAGGAATTTTTCAAAACCAAAAACCCTGAAGCGGGTTGTCGGGATACTCCTGCAACAACATCAACAAAAAGGCAGGTGGAGTTGTACCTTTTGGGGAGAAAAAGTTGCAATGTTGGGAGAGAATTTCTGCGGGTAAGCGTTCCCCAAATCGGTAAATATGCGATACGTGTGCGGTTCCAACAACAGCGAAAACCCCCTAGATCCCTACATAAGTTATGTTTCCATCGCATAGTAGGATCCAGGACTCGGTCAAATTTAGTAAAATTGAAAAAATAAAAAAAAAATAATTTTTTTTTTGAAATTTTGACATTTTATTTAAAGGCATACTTGATTGTTCCCATTTCATATGGGTAAGAATGAAGGTTTGACATTTAGTCACAAAATTCTGCACGTCAATTTTGGATATTGAAGGATATTTCGTTTTGTTTTAGATCTTTTTAGCGCAGGTCCGTGTATCGATTTTTTACCATCAATTCTTCCTCTCTTCACGAATCTTCAGCTGCTGGTGCGTCTGCGGACGAAGAAGAGGCTACCCACCCCCCAAATGGAGGTCCTGCCTCCTCTGGCTTGCAGAAGGAGGAAGAGAAGCAGCAGCAGCCACACAGCGATGCTATGGAAAAACAGAACCGACAACAGCACGCAGGACAACAGCGAGGACAGGGCGACAATCAACAACGCCAAGGAGGCTCCCAGCTCTATAGTTCTCGCCAGCCGCAAGGCGAACTCCCCCAATGGCCAGGCCAGCCGCGTGGAGCTTTGGGAAAACCAGGTCAAGTATCTGTCAATTATCTCGACGTTAACTTGGACCAAATGCCTGCGGTGGCCTACCACTACGATGTGAAGATCACGCCAGAGCGTCCTAAGAACTTCTATCGTCAGGCTTTTGAGCAGTACAGAGTTGAACACTTGGGCGGTGCGATTGCCGCATTTGATGGACGTGCATCGTGTTACTCAGTTGTGAAGCTAAAATGCAGCTCCCAGGGCCAAGAAGTGAAAGTAAGTGTTGTTGTGTTGTCGCCGAGCTTGATGCACCTTTGAAGTGAAACTTGCTTTCCTGCCGTCCAGGTAACAGATCGCCACGGCCACTCTACGTTCATATTCATAATTACCCGTCCAAAAAAAAAACTACAAAACATACGGCTGTAAACTGTGGTGGCCCAAGGAGATACAAAACTACATAAATACGGGCACTCTACGTTCATATTCATAATTACCCGTCCAAAAAAAAAACTACAAAACATACGGCTGTAAACTGTGGAGGCCCAAGAAGATACAATTCAGCTTCATCTGATCGTTTTTCTACACAAACCTACATAAATACGGGCACTCTACGTTCATATTCATATTTACCCGTCCAAAAAAAAAAAAACTACAAAACATACGGCGGTAAACTGTGGAGGCCCAAGAAGATACAATTCAGCTTCATCTGATCGTTTTTCTACACAAACCTACATAAATACGTATTTATGTAGTTTTGTATCTTCTTGGGCCACCAAGCAAGCGGCAACGCTCGGCGGAGGACACCACCACACAAGTCCAACAGGCCAAGAGGACGAAAACACTGATTGGCCCGCGGACAGATTTCTCGTCCTTCCCGAACATCCGCTGGCAAAGTGACGTGCGGGACGGTAAACGGGGAAGCTGAGCAGACGAATTATGTGTGGATTGGATCATGGAAAGCGACTCAAATATATTCGCCAAGTGCCGCAATAATGTGTTGCAATTGGGAGTTCCTCAATCGAGTTCCCAGAAATCGAGCTGCTTCAGTACATCTCTTACGAGTATATGACATGCCACTCTAGAACCTCTCCGAAATACCATCCAATCTGCCGAAGCCTATGTCTGTGCCCGACGTCTTGTGTGTTCCAAACATTTTCCTATTGTCTGTTTGATCTAAAAATAAACGTTTACCATATTTTAATGCCCCTTTTAATGTCAACTGTTACGTGCTGGCCCTGACTCCGGCTCCATGAACTTGGGGCCAACGTTTTCAATGCCATAAATTGGGGTATGAGCACAGCGTGTGGCCCTTGGGGGGCTACCTATGGGTGCCAGCGACTGGGGCCCCAGTGCAAGGCGGTGCTTTGAACTCCTTCGCTGTTTACGACAGTGTCGTATATGTATGTAGGCCTCCCAAGACAATGACGATGACAATGAGTCAGCTGTGACGACAAGTGCTGACGCAACTGACTCCTCCCGATGGCAGCTTTAGCGACAATCGGCCCTGTTAATGGCATATAATTACGCGGATCAAAGCGGAAACCGATCATTTGAAAGGTGAAATCTGACGAAATGTTGTCAATGTAAGTGTCCCAAAATCATGTCCCTTCAAGTGCCGTCTCTAGCCGTAAGACAATTGTTTCTGGCCAATGAATCATTAGTTGGAGGAAAATGGAGGACCACCGCCCAAGTGTGAGGACGCCAAGGCAGGGTGAAAGCCATCGCTCGGCGGTCCTCTACGCTCAAGGAGGTCTACCCAGGAGCCCAGCTGGAGGCCGTCAAGTGCGAGGACATCCCCAACAATCCGAGGCCCAGAGCGTGGGTCTCGGCGAAGCCTGCAGAGCCGGATAAGATTCTCCGGATTCTGCAGGTCTGCAACCCCCACCTTCCCACCGCGCCAAATCATCCACGACACGGAGGGCGCTGTGGACTACGGTCGAGACAGACCTGGAGCCACCGGAGATCCCTAGCCTGTGTCGGTGTCGGATGACATCCTAGATGGTTACGTGTCAGACGTGAGCGATCTCAAGCACATCTCCACCTAGCCAAGGGTGGAGCCGACATAGTCCTCATTCACCTCACACACGCCCGGCGAGCATGTGATTTGTATGTACTCGAACAGCACTGCCTGGTTCAGTGGTGCCAAGCTGCGCGTTCACCTGGACATACAGGTGGGAGAGCATGCCATCCTCGGAAACAGGGTCTCTGATCTGAGGACTAATGACTATAAGCTGACACCGCAGGTAAAACTCGCACCTGCATCCTTGCAAAAAGAGATTTGCACTTATTTTTGCTTCCGAATTTCTCAGTGCTCACTGAGAATCTGCTCCACAGACTGCGAGGCCAAGGCGACTGTGCTCCGCGTCATAGGATACAGGTGGGCACGAGCGAACCGGCACCCGCCGTAACTGTACACACCGTCGGAAGTCCGACTAGAGTGCGACGCCAGTGGGGAAGCACTGACACCAACGAAAGGGGTCAGAGGGTCCTATTAAATAGGATTAGATTGTAGGGAAAATCATCAGCGTGGCTTACTTAACCAATATACACATTTTTCCTGTTGTACTATCTCGAGTTCTTAAAGCCAGTAATTCAATCTTTCACCTCATGGGAACATCGTATCCTGGAGGGTCCTTCTCGGACCACAGGTGCGTGGAAACCGTATTCTCTTTTTCACTACCGAGACCAGCTCAATTCCGGAACCTTAGGCGGACAAACTGGGCTCGGTACTCAGACTGTAAATTGACAGACTGGCCTTGTAATCGGCCTAGCTCTGCTCAACGTTTTCAGTCTTAGCTTTATTGAAGTCTCCGGGAGGCTTTCCGGAGTTCCCTCAGTTTCGGATTCCACCATTCAGGTTTCTTCCGGCCTCTGCTCTTGCCAGAGGGGCAGGATTTATCGAGCGCCTCATTGCAGGCGTCGGTAAATAGTTTAACGTGATGAGTCGTCGGCTGCGTTGAAAACAGATCACACTACCTGCTAAGCCAGGAGAACATTTCCTGGGCAATCAAAAGCTTCAAACCATACAAGTCTGCGGGACCAGATGGCATCATCCCTGCCCAACTGATTCACGCTGGACAAAAAGCCACTAATTGGCTCAAAAGGATATACGAGGGAATCTTATCCCATGGATATATCCCGGAAACCTGGCTTCATACCAAAGGCGTCTTCATCCTCACACTGCCCCCAAAGATTTCAGACCCATAAGTCTATCGTCCTTCTTTCTGAAGACGATGGAACGGCTTTTAGGGATGCATCTCACGGTAAATATTCCGCCTAGTCTAATCTCAGACTCCCAGCATGCCTATCGGAAAGAAAGATCCACCGAAACGGCCCTACACACGATCACACCTCACACACCTCAACTGTAAGGAGTACACCCTTCCTCAACATAGAAGGCGCCTTTAATAACATCCTCCCGACCGCCATCACGAGTGCACTTACGGACCTGGGGGTTGACTCCCGGACGGTGAGCCTGATCGATCAGATGCATCACTGGGGACGTCAACGTCCACCAGATTTGTCAGTAGAGGCACCCCGCAGGGCGGAGTCCTCTCGCCCCTCCTATGGAACGTGGCAGTGAATGAACTGCTGCGGGAGATAGAGGGGGGTGGTTGCCGCGTAGTGGCGTATGCGGGCGATGTTGCTATAGCATTCTCGGGTAAATTCCCGCAGACGCTGTGTGAGTGCCTGACAAGTTAACGTCGAGATAATTGACAGATACTTGACCTGGTTTTCCCAAAGTTCCACGCTTCATGGTGAGTGCCGACAGTGGCGGCTGAGGCAGACCTCGTCCCTGGGCTCCTGGCCATTGCCGGAGTTCGACTTGCGGCTGACGAGAACTATAGAGCTGGGAGCCTCCTTGGCGTTGTTGATTGCCGCCCTGTCCTCGCTGTTGTCCTGCGTGCTGTTGTATGTTCTGTTTTTTCATAGCATCGCTGTGTGGCTGTAAAAATTCCCACCGATCCGCTAAAATGAACGCTAAATTATAACGTTTTAGACATGCTATGGAGTCGCTCCATGCATTCCTGATCATTGATCCGCGATCACCGATCCCAATCGCCAGAGCCAAATCCGGCTGCATATTGCGTTAAACGCGCGGGAGTCTCAGTTCAGATTGGTTTCGATTCGCCAGCCAGTTCCTATCTATATGAATTTTTTTTGGACCAGCTTATGTGTGAATATAGCCTGGGGGCTCTCATCTTCCATCTGAGCTCTACCACCTCGCACCACGCTCCTTTATCTCTCGCATTTAAGTACTTTAAGTCCTTGGATATGTACACCGCCGCGGATAAGTTATATTTGTAAAATGTAGTTCCTCCCAACTGCATCCTCGCAGTCTCCCCAGTTAATCAGCGGAACAGCTCCTGCTCTTATCCTGCGCTTATGCACAGCCCTACCCTACCCTACCATCATTGTAGAAATCCCCACTAGTCGTAGTTTACGGTTTAAGCGAATTTTTTTCATAGTTTCTAAGTGCAAAATAAAATACAAAATCCACAACAGATTATATAATTCTTTCCTTATTCTGTCACTGCGCGAGGGGCCCGCTTAGGGTCCGTGAAGAAGATATATCAATTGGATTGGATAATATACTAAGTATATCTCCGAGGAATTTTTTTTGCATTTAACAAAACGAAATGAAAGAATTGTTTATATCGGACTATCTGCTAATGTTTATAAATAATATCTACTCGTACTCGTATTCAAAGTCAAGATTCTCGTACATGGGACTTCCTTTCTGATGACCTGTGGGGAAATCTCCTGCGCCTGTGCCTGCTACTAGTCCAGGGGATCTCCGAAACCCTTACAGAAGAGGCTAAAGGAGGAGGGAGAGACCACACGCACACAAATGTTAGTCAGCCAAATCGAATCGAATCGGTTCGTGGACAGCTTATAGTTACCTATTTCTTCGGTGGATTGCAGCTCCAGGCCAAGCAATACAACCTCATTGGTCTCTGTACAAATTGCGACTTGTGGCATTGTATTGCTGGTCCCATTTTTCCTCCCAGCTAAGAAGATTCCCCACAGCGATAGCAGGCTCTTTTGGATTGCCCATGTGATGCTTGCGCTTGCGTCCGTTGGGTTGCCCAATGGGTGGCCATGTGTCTGGCAATATCGACCTGCTGAGCTCCTCGTCGATTTTTATACCCGATACTCAAAATGAGTATTGGGGTGTATTAGATTTGTGGTAAAAGTGGATGTTTGTAACGTCCAGAAGGAATCGTTTCCGACCCATAAAGTATATATATTCTTGATCAGCATCAATAGCCGAGTCGATTGAGCCCTGTCTGTCTGTCCGTCCGTCCGTCTGTCCGTCCCCTTCAGCGCCTAATGCTCAAAGACCATAAGAGCTAGAGCAACGATGTTTTGGATCCAGACTTCTGTGATATGTCACTCCTACAAAAATATTTCAAAACTTTGCCCCGCCCACTTCCGCCCCCACAAAGGGTGAAAATCTGTGGCATCCACAATTTCGACGATACGAGAAAACTAAAAACGCAGAATCGTAGAAAATGACTAAATCTTCCAGAGTGCAAAATCTGAACCAGATCGTATAAATATTATAGCCAGAATCACGAAAAAAATTTCACTCTTTCTCGCTCTGTCTCACTCTAACACACAGGTTTCATGGTCGGTTTTGCCAATTGCAAAATATGAGTTCAAGGATCTCAGAACCCATAAGAGCTAGAGCAACCAAATTTGGTATCCACACTCCTGTGATATCGGACCTTGACCGTTTTGTGTCAAAATTTCGCTGATCATCTGGATCAGATCAGATCATTTTTATAACCAAAAGGAACAAATCAATTTGCACTGGCTACGCAGCGCCCGACGTCACGCTCAGAGTGATTTTCTGTCTCTCTCGCACGTATTGTTTGTCGTGTCGTTCATTATTAGTGGCGTCTGGCGGAGGAGAGCCATATTGACTTAGTATCGGGTATAACTGTAAAGTTGCTGCGTCCGCCTCAACTCACAACGTTCCCCCCCGTTTGTTGTATATTCGCTCTGTCCTAATTCTCTGGTGTTTGTATTGTTCAGATGGCTCCTTTTAATTGAACCTTTTTTTTACCAATGAAGTGGAGTGGAAATATTGGTTTTTTACTTGTCACAAAAAATGCAACTCTGGCTTGGACTGAGCACACTGGCCCAACACTGCTCAGCGTTAATCCCAATCAAGTCACGAAACGTCTTTTAACACATACATGTTCCGTGCACCGATGAACTTTTGATGTACTGTACTGTTTTCTCCACTTTTTTGTTTGTTGCTGTTTGTTGATTAATTAATAATCCAAAGGAGTTGCGTTATGGTTTGATCCATTCTCTATATTTTCCTCATTTTCTCACGCGGACCGCACTGAAACTATTTGCACTTACTTTCTACGAGGAAAACGCTCTGGATCTGGCTTCGGGACCGCCTCAATTGCAGCAACATATTGCTACTTCACTTCACAGAAGGTCCAAAGGTCCCAGCCTAACGGGAATGAGTTAAAAGTATTATGGCTCTTAAATTTAACAGCTAACAATGTAAGGATACATTTCATGTCGCTAACTGGTTCATATCCTGTGTGAACAAAACTTTCATAAAATTATAAAAGGTCCGCTTAGAGTACGACGCTACAACCAACCAACTCAATAAGGAGTTACCATCATAACCGATCATAAACATAATTTTATGCAGATAACATTGAGAAAATGAAAGAGGTAAGAGAGATAATGTTTATCAACAAAAAAACATTTTAATTTAGTAAAAAAAAAAATCTATATTTACATTTTAGGTTCTTGAAACGCTGAACCCAGAAGATTCTGAATCTATTGAGCTGGCAAAAGAGCTGGTAGAAGCAAAGGTGCTACCATTAGCAAAGTCAATGGATTCATTTAAAGAAGCTGAAAATATTGTTCATAACATAACTGGTGGTTTTGGAATAGATTTCAAAACGTCAGAGCCTCTTAAATAATTATTTAGAGAAAATGTTGTATATTTCCTCTAGTTTACTAGTTGACAATTGTTAATCAAATTTCAATATATATATCACCTTAAAATCGTTTTTATATTATTGTGATTTGATTAGCATATGCATATTTTGGCATATATCTTGCGGATGGAGACTGGGCAACTGCACGGAGAACGTCAGTAGTGATTTTGGGAATGAAGATTCAGCGGCATTTAGATTTTATATTATTTATTGGTTTGTATCAAGCCCAAAACAAAGCCAAGCCTCGAACACCATCGATTACGATTCGCTTTTGACGCATACATTGTACAGTGTGCAGTATTAAATAAATAGTTTAAAATGGAAAAAAAGTTATAAAATATTTTATTTTATTGAGATGTAATTGGGACGTAGATAACAGTGGAGCCATTCGGGTTCTATTCATTTTCTGACAGTCTGGCAGCGCCTACGCACAGCTGCTGAAGCGAAAGCACCGTTATACTGTACAAATGTAGGCAATGTGAAAATAATGAAATAAATCGAAAATCTCTCATTATGAGTCAAATGCTGTTAATTTTCAGTAGCTAATCCAAAAATTGAGCTTGTGCTTACCACGCCGAAGCGCAATCACTTGCTTAAGGATGTTCCCCCATCCGCACCAGGTGTCAAATTCTCGGCCGCGGTGCATATGGTACTGCTTTTAAGTCAATTTATCGCGGTATTTTTTACCCAATAAAATGGATATATCTTATTGATCGCTTCTGAACTTTGAACAGATTACTCCGCTTGAAGATTATCAAGGGACATAATTATCATAATAACAGAGTCCACTGTTGCCTTTAGTATTATCGTTATGGAGTGTCCGTAGGATACTGGACACGCTAGCGTTGGCGTTCATCCACAGAGTGCTGTATGTGATTCGGTTGGACATTGTGGCTGCTCTGCGCTACTGTGTGCTTAACGTGCTCCGCGTGGACCTCAAGCCTGCCAAAATTTTGGTAACTGCCAGCGCAACTACATTTCCAAGCTGTGCTACATAGGGTCATACATTAAAATTGGCGAGTTTTGAGCCCGCCAGAGCCAGAGCAATGCCAGGGGCACCCTGTCTCTGCAAGCCCTGCGCTCGGATCCACTTTCAGGCGCCTCGGCCACTCCCTGGTTTGGCATGTGTCAAATGCAGTGCAGTCGCTGCAACGACTCCATCACTTATCAAGTGGTCAAGCCCTCTCCGGCGACTACCCCAAGAGAGCACCCCTCAGCTGTAACCGGAAAGGGGATTTTGTAAGTGAGTGAAAGCAGTTCAAGGGCGGATGGCGTGCCGCAATCTAAATTTTAAAACATCGTGCAGCAGTAGCCGTGAGCTAAAGAGGAAGCACGAAGAACAGATCTGAACCTAAGCTGCTGGGGGATCGAGCCTAATTTCCACACGAGCCCTATTCTTCTGAGGAATAACCTGGAGCTCATCTTGAGCAGAAGCTCTCCCGCCGGCTTGCTTTTCGGCTTATGTCGTGATTATGTCGTGTTCGTTTGTAATTTGTTTGAATTATTTGTACTGTTTTATAAGCTTTTACCATAGAAATCTTTCGATTGATTGATCTTTGATTGATTATTACATTAAGGGCAAGACAGGTGTGGGTCAATAATTTATATTTTGTAACTTCTTTTTCGTTTAGAAGAAGTGAAGATATTTTGTTAGTTTTCTGCCTAAACAAAATACATAGGGTTCGTCTTCATGAACTCTGGCACTATCAAACGCTTTGCGTACTCCACCTGGGGAGAACGAAACTTGGTGCAGCTGGAAGAAAAGCAGTCAAGATGACTGTTCGGGCCAGCCGCTGAAGAATAACCGTAACTTTAACATTATTATTTATGAGCATAGAGAGCCGCCTACATATGGTGTAAAACGTTGACTTTCTGCAGAGCTGCTGCGCTCTCCCGCTAAAGGGGGCTCTCTGCCGCCGCCACTTCGGCAATTACTTTGATCTGCTGCCGCCACTTCGGCAGTCACTTTGATCTAACGCCGTCGTCTATAGTTTAGTTCTATGCTAACCCCTCTGCGCATTGGTTGCATATCGATCTCGCATAAAGTTTATCTGGCAATAGCAAGCAATCGGCTTCCGCTAAGCCACCAAGATTAAATACGAATTATAAAGTTTAACCAAAAATCTCTTTTTATTTTGAAATACATAGGTGCCAAAAAAGCTTGGCATCTCAAACATTGGTGACCCCCCGACGTGATATAAAACCATTTCTTAATCGCGTTCCGTTAAAACACTTATTAATTATACAATATTGTGTTGTTGGGTAGTTTAACTACCAACAAATACATTTGTGTGCACATTAAAAACAGTTTAAAGTGCAAATTCAGTGAGAGTGCCGCTGGAATATTTATAGACAAATTCCGGTACTTTAAGCGTCGAATCTCTCATTCTCTGCGCAGCTGCAGCCGCGGTTCTTGACTTTTCGTGTCTTGCATTCTCGCTCTCGCGTCTATACATCGTCGCTTAAGCGGTATTTCATTTTCCGTTGTTTTGTCGATTGCACAACGGTTAACATGGACAACGATCCAAATACAGGCGCGAGCGGAAATATTGTGGTGGCTGATTCCAGACTGAGTCTGTATAAGCGTAAAAGTCAGTCATTATATGATCGATTGCACAGGCTTGGCGAATCCTTCGCGGGGAATAAAATCGATAAGCTGACCGCCGCGGAAGTCGAGGTGCGCCTTGATATGTTGCCAGAAATTCGAGAGGAATTTAATAAGGCCCATAATGAATTGGAGGCTCTCGATCAAAACGAGATTGGGAGTGAGCTGCGCGAAATCTTCGATACTCTTTTCATATCGTTGAAAGCTGAGTTGCTGGCTGCTGTTGAAGACAGGCTGTAAGACAGTCACACGCCGCTGCCCATTCTACGACTCTGCCAAGCCATTCCGGACATAGTACCATCATCATGGCTCACAAGCAGCGACTTCCTGAGCTGAAGGTGCCTAAGTTTTCTGGTGGATACGTCGAGTTCTCGGATTTTATGGCAATGTTCAAATCGGTGATTGAAGCGGATGCGGATCTCAGTGACATCGAGAAATTCCAGCACCTTCGCTCTTGCCTCGCTGATGCGGCTTTGGATTCGGTTCGATCGTTGGAGCTCTCCAGTGCCAATTATCGTGCGGCTCTGGATATACTTAATAAACGCTTTAATAACAAAAGACTTGTTTTCCAGGCACACATCAAGAAGATTCTTGGGCTAAAGAGGGTAGACTCGCCTTCTGCTAAAAGGCTTCGGGAGTTTTCGGATGCAGTCAATTTACACATGCGAGCGTTGCAGACATTGGGAACTGCTGAGGAGGTTTCAGGATTCATGGTCATCAACATGCTGCTGCAGAAGTTGGATTCGAAGACGCAAACCAAATGGGAGGAGCACACATCGTCGGATGCTATACCTACCGCAGAGGAATTCTTCGAATTCTTGCAGCAACGGTGCCAGAAAATGGAGCGATTGGAATATGCTACAGCGACACACGCTAGTAGCGATCAGGTGGGAAAAAACCATTCCTATACGCAGGTTAAGAAAACGTTTGTAGCTTCCAACTCTTCCGCCGACCCGTCTGTATGCGTCTTTTGCCACTCAGCGGGCCATGGAATATACTCGTTGCCTATTGCCTAAAACCGGGGCACCGGACCCGCGCATGCAATAGTGAAAAATGTCGAGTATGCGGCGGTAGGCATCATAGTTTGTTGCACTTCGATAGTATACAGCCCACAACACAAGGCTGCCCAGGTATTACTCCTCCCGATCTGGCCGTTCAACCGGACACTCTTTCCGTTGCTCAAAATTCTGCTAGCAGCTCGTCTCTACCTTCGTCTACCTCTCTTGCTGCCCAAGGTCTTCACTCTGATGTCGTGCTTCTGGCTACAGCCGTGGTTCTCGTGAAGAATCGGTCTGGCGTTTTAGTTCCTTGTAGTGCCATCTTAGATTCAGGATCGCAGCTGCATCTCGTCACATCCAGGTTCGCCCAGCAGCTTCAGCTTAGGAGAACTCAATCGTCTGCACTTGTGTCTGGGCTGGGCGATACCAGCGTTTCTACTGAGGGATCCACCATAAGCATTTGTATGCATTCTCGCACCTCTGCTTACACAACTACGCTTACTGCTCTCATCGCCCCCACGATTACCGATTCTCAACCAAGTATGGCAGTAAATGTATCCGATTGGCGTATTCCATCTAACATTCAGCTCGCTGATCCTGCATTTTTCAATCCTCAACGGGTTGATCTTCTCATTGGTGCGAGCGTTTTTTATGATCTCCTCTGCGTAGGGCAAATCAAACTCACCGATGGACTGCCTCTTCTGCAGAAGACCCGGCTTGGGTGGATCGTATCTGGCGCTGGACAGAAGGTATCAAGCTCGGCGCTTTTGGCCACGCACAATTGTCCAGATTCGATAACTGAGATGGAAGCAAGGTTGGATAAAACTCTTCGTATGTTTTGGGAAGTCGAGAATTGTGTGGAGGCTGGGTTGAATACCAAAGAAGAAGACAATTGTGAAGCACATTTCGTAAGCCACCTTTCACGGTTGCCATCCGGGGAGTATGCAGTTCGTCTGCCGCTAAATAACAATACTGATCGTTTAGGAGAATCTTATGCTCAGGCTTATCGACGGTTCATCAGTCTGGAGCGAAAACTGGAGCGTAATCCTACACTCAAGGAGCGGTATTCCGCCTTTATGAGGGAGTACATTGATTTGCATCATATGCACCAAGTCAACCCTGATTCCCGTAGCCTCTGCAAATATTTCTTGCCTCATCACTGTGTCCTAAAGGAGGACAGTACGACGACAAAACTCGGTGTCGTTTTCGATGGATCCGCAGCTACATCAACTGGATATTCTCTAAATGATGTGATGATGACAGGCCCTGTTATTCAGCCTGCATTGTTTAACATATTGATTCGCTTTCGAACATATCCAGTCGCTCTCACTGGGGACATTTGTAAAATGTACCGCTGCGTACGAGTGTCTCCACCCGACAATTTGTATCAATGCATCCTATGGCGAGATTCCATCGAGTCCGAGGTTCAAGTCTACACATTAGACACCGTCACATACGGGACGAGGGCTGCATCATTTTTAGCGGTCCGCGCAATGCACCAGCTGGCCATCGACGAGGGTGAGTCCTACCCTCTTGGCTCAGCTGCTCTGCGGCAGGTCATGGACAAGATGCACCAAACATCAGCTTTATTGTCCCGTGGTAACTTTAGACTTAGGAAATGGTGCTCCAGTCACCAGGAAGTACTTGAGGGAACCCCTGAAGATGACATAGAGAAGTTCCTAAAGTTTAATGATGGAAGCGACATAGCCAAAACTCTCGGCTTAGCGTGGGACCCTGCTTCGGATCAGCTGCTTTTTGCCTTGTCCGCACTGGACACAACCTCAAAGCCATCAAAGCGGTCGGTTTTATCTACGATTGCGCGGTTCTACGACCCTCTTGGATTGATAAATCCAGTCATTGTCAGGTGCAAAATCTTCCTTCAGCAGCTTTGGAGAGAAAATTTGGATTGGGATGAAAGCCTACCCTCAGCGTTGCATTCAACTTGGATGGACTTGAGAAATAGTTTGGCAAGCATTTCTCGGATCTCATTTCCTCGCTTGGTTCTTCGTTCTAGTGTGGCTACAGAAGTTCACGGATTCTGTGATGCCAGCTTAGAAGCATATGGCGCTTGCGTGTATGTCGTGTCCAGGGAGTGGACAAAGTCGCGAGTGGCGCCGCTAAAGACTATATCGATTCCTAAGCTGAAATTAAGTGGAGCCCATTTGCTTGCGAAAATCATGCAGAATGTAAAGGACATGGGAATCTTTACAGGTCGGTTCTATTGCTGGTCGGATTCGTCAACAGCATTATCTTGGATTAGGGACGAGCCAGCTAAATTTCAAGTTTTCGTGGCAAATCGAGTGGCCTCAATTCAGGAGTTGACGGCAGCCATGGAATGGCGCTATGTTCCCACATCTTTAAATCCTGCTGATATTCTCTCGAGAAGCTCGCTCCCCAACCATCTTATCCAGTCAGAGCTATGGTTTCACGGCCCATCCTTTTTGCTACGCTCCAAGGATAAGTGGCCTGTATCTCCTGCTAACAACATAGCAACTTTGGAGCTTCGCAAGAGCTTCACGTCTCCACATCCCGATCTCACGTCCGGATGCAAATTTGCGAATTCATTCTTTCGCATGCAGCGCACATTCGCCTACATGCATAAATTTATACATCGTCTTAGGCATCCAGGACTCACCGTTTCTGATATTCGGCAAGGAACGCATCTTCTAGTTCGACACATTCAGCTGGCAAATTTGTGGATGGACATAAAGGAGATTCGGCGCAATGGTCAAGTCATGAAATCCAGTTCTATTAGTTCGCTCAACCCGTTCATCGATCATTCTGGACTACTTAGAGTTGGAGGTCGTCTTGGCAACTCATCGCTAGGATTTGACGCTCAGCACCCGCTCATTCTGCCAAAGGGATATTCCATTACCTTTGCGCTGATAAGATATTACCATGAAAGAAACCTCCATGCCGGACCTCGCGCCTTGCTATCCAAAATTCGGCTGGAATATTGGCCCATTGGAGGTGTTAAGGCAGTGTCAAGGGTCGTCAGCAGATGTGTGAGATGCTTCAGGACTAGGCCGCGCATGGTCGAACACATCATGGGAGACCTACCTAAGGAACGTTTGGAAGGATCTCGAGCTTTTGAAGTCACTGGAGTAGATTACTGTGGACCTTTTTTCTACCGATCAGAAATCCGCACAA